ACCAGAATATTATTTAAATAGTTAGTTTATATAGTTATAGTTGCATTTGACAATGGTTTTATCTATAAGTTTTTTCTTCCAAAGAAATGTTAAGTGCATTTTACAAACTTTGCGTGAAATTTTAATCCAATAATCCAACAAAGAATCCAAAAGGGTCACCGATTTTCGTAAGAGAATCGTAAACTACCCGACAATATACGAACATCCCTAGATTCCCTGGCAATAGAACAGTAAAAATATACACTCCGCAAAATGGGGTCAGTAAAAATGTGTCTGTGAGAAAGTAACATTTCTATGTAAATGTTATAGTAGCGTTCGTTTAATCCTCCGCTTTTCCGCTCGGAACGAGCATGTACCGCTTCCAACCGGATTAGGGGTGCCACTGTTTTGATTTCAAACAAGTTATCTCGCATTATAATAGCCTTAACTAAGATCAGCTTTGGCATATTATGGCTATGCTTTAAAAAAAGGAAGGGTTGCACTCCGGGAGTGCCGGCGAAAGTGAAAACTTGAATTTAGAATTGTTAATAATTTTGCACGAATTTCTTCAATTATCAGTATAAAAGTACTATCATTTATGTGGTAGAATACAATATTTATTTTTTTCGCTATCGTATACAAACATGACAATTTATATTACATTAAAAAGTTTACCTCTCAGAATTACTCATTTAAGCGCACCTAGCGCCATCTATTGTAAAAAAATGCATTTGCTTCGCAATAAAGCTGCCCCCTGGACGTCCTAGATACAGACTCATTATTATAATACGATAAAATAAAAAAATACTATGATTCGTTCAATATGTTGAAAATCAACAACCTTTCCAATTTTATTGTTTTCGTCTTACGAATTTTCGATTTTTAATACGATAAAATAAAGTATTAGTATGTTTCGTCCAATATATTGAAAGTCCTTTCCCATTTTATTGTGTCATGATGCGATCAGCCCACGTGTTTAACCTGACGCGAGTTTAACATTTTTTACCCATACAAAAAGAAGTGTACAACGCCACTAAAGAAGTTTTCACTTCAAAAAACACTTTTTATACGTGCTTATAAATTTATATCATGATTTGTTTTTAAATTATGATAGCATTTTCATTTACGATAAATAGAATTATCATTTTTACATTAAATAACAAAGCTCGGGATAAAAAAGTACCAATTCACGATTTAACAAAACAATTACCAAGTCTTTCTTTCTGTAATGATTAAAAAGGCAAATTTTATAATTGTATTCTTGTTTACTCGTATTTTCGACCACATAATAAAGTATCAAATTTACGATCGCTGAATATGTAAATTTAATGAGTCATAAATTTCAATGTAACATTTTTAGGTACCCCCAAACAAAGGAGTTAATCCCTAGATCCAAGTTTGCCATATAACGCTCATAAAGCTCCTCGCGGAACTTTGAAAAAGCTTCCTATTTGTATGGTAATGATAATAGATAGTGGAGCTGTTCTGCGAGCTTTTAAACCTCACGTGGCTATTATGCAGTTTAGGTATTAAGTAAATGCTTCTATGTGGCCAAACTGTTTTGGATATTGCTAGAGATTATGAGATTAACGGGTTATTTCGCATTGGTTATTTGTACTAATAGATAGTATTTGTCGTTAATGCCACAAATTTTAATACACGGAACTGTATAATTCACAAAGTTCGGAAACTGGATTAATACATGCATACTAGTTTTTAAACTAATACTAGGTAGATCTATAATGATTTTGAGATGTCTTGACTATCTTAAACAATGCTAATCATATTTTTAATTTCTTACAGTACTATCCATGACAGATACTGAAACAACAAAATATAGTAATCGGTTGATGAACATGATGACATCACCAGCAGCCAATTAATATCTACTGGATAGATCAGAGGACTTCCCGATTAAAAATCATAAAAGATTCCAAGAACTTTGTTCAAATAAAAATGAAATCAATAAAATACCTTTACTTGACCAATTTTTTGTGATATCTCAAAAAAAATAAGTTGAGGATTCTCTTCGTACTTGAAATATAACCATTTCTGGGACCAGCAAACCCCTTTCGACTAAGAAATCATTATTGATAGTACACCAAGATAGCATGCCGAACAAGGCGAAGATGCCCGCGGGCCCGGCAACAACTCACCAATCCCTGATCCGGACAATCCCGCGATCCCGGCTAATGCCACCTTGTAATTCAGTCCCGTAATTCCCGAAGTCCGGGATCCGCCCTAAATTGCGGACCGCAATAATTCCAGGGTTGTATTTACGCGATCTCTATTTTGCCATGTTTTGGAGCTACGTAGAAAAGATATGGTAAGATATTATTTGGACATAAACTTTAATCCCATAAGTATCCACGACGAAATAATGGGAATACCACACCAGAAGATACAGCAGATACAGAGAGAGAAACAACGCAGCATTTTGATGGTGTTGGGATTAGTTTTGTATAGAAATGGTCTACAAAATGGGCTACAAGGTTACACTTTGTTGTGATTTTCATACCCCTGGCATTTTCTGTCGTCTCTGCTATTTACACATAACATCAGGACGAAACATCTTTCTTATGCATGTGTCTTTATTAAAAATACTTTCATTGATAGGTCAAATAAACCACTCCGCCTGGTGCTAATAATTACGAGTGGTTAGTTCAGTTGCTAAGATCTAATGCAGAAATCATGAAAGAATCTCACCTTGTCGGCTTGAACCCCTTTATCTTACCCAATATATCTTTTGTTACCTACCTGTAGGATCACAACTTTGCAGAATTGTTACCTATCCTAAAGTTTTATCAAACTATATAAAGCTATGTCCAGAGCGTAGTTAATTGTTCCTAAATAGTTTTTACTCTCAAACTCAAGCTCGCTATCTACCTATATGGTATGAAGGTATCCCATCTAAAGTCCTAAAACATCTTTAATGTATTTGAGTTCTTTAGTCCACGCGTATGAAGTTGAGATCGAAGACTAGTTATTTAATAGGCTATTAATTTTATACACATTCGCACCTCCATGTCCAATTCTATCCAACGTTGGTCAAATATAAAAGCAGTTAAAGACACAGTCAGATCCCTTTAATTTGGTCCGCACTGATAAATCGAGGCGGCCATATTGTCGCCTATTAAAACTATAAATCTTGGGGTCCAGTCTATTGGACTTGTAGGGAAATTAAGAGCTAGTTTGGATAATGTTCCAGTCGTTCGGTAAGACAGGGCGGTTTGGAACACGATTTATCTATTTGGGGTACGAAATTTCGCCCTAATGAAAATAAGTCGGGCTTGCTGTCTATGTTATTTAACGTCTATGGAGCTAATATGCTAAGCGTCTGTACGTTTTAGAATATTATTGGATGACAAGGGATTGCGTATTCTATTTTTCAATCAGTTTAATGTATTTTTATTATTAATAAAAAGAGCTTATCAATCTTTATCTAATTAATAATGAATCATGATAATTGATTAACGGAAAAACGATAAATTTAACAAAATGTTTAAATGATTATGTAACTCAATCAAAGGTTGTGTTACACCAATGACGTCATACATTGGTGCTTTTTAAAAAAAATACAATTAAATCGACATAGCCATCCGGATTTATACAAATTAAAACACTTTATTAGTACAGAATCCCAACAGCCACCCCATTATCTCCCCTTGACGCTTCTTTATCAAAAATTAATTAAGAAACTACCAGACGCAAGACAAGCGTTTGCGACCATTACGAGCGCTATTAACCCGTCGCCTGCCGAGCCGTTTAATTCAATTAATATCATTCCCCTGTCTCTGTTTAACTTGTGCAATTTGCGTGTGTGCGTCTCGTTCGCTCGGAGTAATCTGCTACACGCCTTGCGGTGACCCAGGCAGTTAACATGTTGCCCATTGTTTCGGGATTTCAGTGGGCCGCAAGGATAAACTTGTCGGCTTAGTACATTTGTCGCTGGTTTTGTGTGCGTTCGCCGCTACGAGGCTCACCGTAGTTTATTGGATTAGGATATAGAGGCACCGCTTAGTCTGTCATGTATTAGTGAGATAAAGTTGTTTTGAAATAAGTTTACGTTAGAGTATGAATTATACATTAGTTTGATAGATATTTCATCATGATATTTGACTTTTGTTACTACCCACAAGTTAAAAGAACTAAACTTAATTTCAATGCGAAGAGATGGTGCAGTCTTCCAGCTTAAGAAAGGCCTCTAGCCTTTCGACTCGGCCATCAGAGCCGCGTAAGCATAATGGTCGGTGCATCCGCCCGGATAGCATTATAAAATTAGCCTGTCCATTATTACACTTTTATTCTCTACTCGAGAAAAGTAATTTTGTTTTATTCTTTCACTATGCTTGGAAAATTCTCGTATTTTTTTTATGTTGGAGTGGTAAACAAGCGGTAAGCAGACACCATGGCCTAAAGACGCTTGCTTTACTAAAATATTCACTCGTACAGCGGTAAGGCAACGGCCTACTTTGACCCAATCCTCTACCCAGTGGAGCCCAAGGACTGAACTCACCGACGCACCAACAGAAACACAACACCACCAGATGATAGTGTAATTTTACTGTCATCTTCTGTAAGGTGGAGGTTATTTCCCCAGACGAGCGCTTTTAACCGATTCGAGCGGAAATCGGCTATGACTTACCTCTCTTTTTTCTCTTCGTATTGCTATAGTACAGTTTTTCATGTAAGTACATTTTATTTATTTTAAACTTGATTGACTAGAATACAGAATACAAATAGTACAAAAGGCGGACTTAATGCTAATAGCATTCTCTCCCAGTCAACTTTTGGGAAAAAAGAAAAACGCGAATGGCGGTATAAAGCTAAATTTTTACACATAAATAACGTTAAAATTATACATATACGAATTAATATAGATACATATATAAATAGATACTACTAAAGGAATACACATACATACCATAATTATATTTTAATATATATATACACATAACTATATACATGATTATGATCAATAAAGTGATTCTGTTAGATTTTCTATATATTAATCAACTTACAGATTGGATTTGAACTGTTGATACCGTTGCTCAAGGAAGTATAATCTCTGTAAAGTATTCGATCACCTCACCCCACTGGATATGAATTAATCATTCCGCCGTCAACAAAGTGAAGTGTCATCGAGCTGACAGCGCGAGGGCCCGATGGGTCTGTCCATATTTGAACACCGAAGTTTATTTAGTGACTCGTCGGAGGTGTCTATAATATAGTAATGGTAAGTAGTGGTTTCAAGGACAGACTAAGAGCATCGTCGAGAACAAATATAGAAACCGAATTAAGCAACACGTCTTAAATAGAAATATATATTTGTATTTGTATTAAATATAAACTGCGGAATTATATAACCTCAATTAATTTTTCATTCAATTGTTCCCGAACATGGTCTTTCTTTTATAAATTTGTTTAAAGCAATCCTTGTTACAAAATTTTAGGTTTGATATGTTTTGTACACGATTGCTTTTGGGTTTTTATGTTTCAAGTTCACGCATGTTTGTAATATGTCCGTTTCTTCATTCCACCATAATATCTGAAAAAAAAAAACTTTACACCATTATAACTGCCATGAAGAACCAAAACCCTATGTACGAAAACAAAAAGTTAAAATGAAAATAGTAATTTAGCTACACCGCGAATTTTGAGTTACACGAGAAATTAAGCAATCGTGTATATAAAAATAGTAAAAACAGTTATAATCAGTAAACGTACAACACCTCCTAACAAAAATATTAATTTATAGCGTTTACAAAATATCTTTAAACCACACTGAAAAGGCATTTTTCCAAAACATTAATAAAAAAAAAAGCGGCAATTTAACCTAAATCATTGTTTGAACTAGCTAGTAATGTTTTTATTATTCAAATAAAGATGAATTACCAGTTGGCTAAAGAAGCACGCATAAAAAAACCTTGGACTTGACACCCAATCATTGAACATCCTCAGACATGTCATTCGCTACACCACCGCGCTGTCCCACAATCGGAACGTCTCCCTGGAAAGGAACGCCAGAGGGGTAATTACCACCGCGTCATACATAATGTATGCGATGACTACAATTTTAAGCCAATAAATAACACCCTTCGTAATGCAGACGAAAATATGGTAACGCATTTATTATACATTCTTGAGCGTAATAGTCGGCGCGATGACAGGGAACTGTTACAGAGCTGTTTGTCCCGCAAATATTTGTGAAGGAAACGGGTTGACGTAAAGTGAAAAATGTGACGTAGTGTCATAAATTATTTAGGTGACGTGTCAATTTTAGTATGAAAATGGACGAACTAAAATGAACTACCTGCTTTGAAATCAAAATAAAAATCATTTATTCAGTCCAGGCTGTTACAAGCACTTGTGAAGGTCACAAAGCCACGCCAAATAGATCAGTATCGGTAGTAGGTATCTATAAGATATCTCAAAAATGTATCTACATACCACTACATCACGCCGATCATCACGGAGGATAATAGTACTGCCTTATAGTTACGTAGCTTAAAAAATTCAGTCTTTGGTGTAGCTTTTAAAAATCTATAATATTATTTTTTTCTGGAAAAAACTTTTAATTTCTCTCCATCTTCGGTTGTTTTTATTATAACTGCAATGAGCGGTTTTAGTAGTTTTGCAGCTTATAACCATTCCGAGTTAAATGTAGACCGCTCATATCCTAAAATATTATCGCCCCCAGTCCCGAGGCTTGTTTGTGAAATAATGGATTCATTCCATGTTCATTTACATCCCTAATAAGATTGGCGTGACACTGGCAGTGTCGCCGAATTACCCTGTCAAATATAATAATCTTATTGCCCTGCGCTATTCAAAGTCCGCTTAATTCGGTTACAATCGAGTGTGAAAGAGATAACAGGACTCGCTCGTTGCGTCTCTTAGCAAGTGACGTGATCCAATTTGAAATTTTGCCTTTCGTATTTTGTTATGTCAAATTCTCGTTCGAATTAGCTTTTTCGTCGAGGCGTTTGATGTTCGTTTGACAAACGTGGGGTGTGGTGCTCTGGTGGTGCCTAATAACATTAACCTGACAAATAATGCTGATGAAATAACAAGATTTGACAATGGAGCTTTAAAATTGTAACATTAGATGTACTAAATAGGTTGAATAAAATATTTCAACTTACCTATATATTATCAACTCATACACGAGTAAATTGCGCATATTAAAGTTCGCTTCGTAAGAAATTTGCCTTAAATGCTATTTTACCCTGCCCGATTAAAGTATATTAAGATCAAATAGTTACCCTCAACATTAATTAAATTTTAATTCAAATGCATCATTTTATTTTTCAAGACATTTAATATTTCATTGCAACAAACACGTGACAGTCATGAAACATGGATAAAAATAAAAATAATATTTAATTATTTAATGCGATATAAAAATGCCAAACATTATCTTGTCTTAGACTATGAGACTCGTCCCTGCAATTTTATAACTTCAATCAGTTGCTTTGCTTTAGGTCGAAGAGTAACAATTTGCTGAGAATTCAATTTACTCGATTTGGATACTCTGGGGATTCTAATGAAATAAATATCCATAGGAAGACTTTACCTCTGTTCTGTGTCTGTTCTTGAACTTAGAGGTTTCCTGGAACTCGAAGAAAAGATCGCTTTTAAAGATAAGACTAGCTCTACATACCGTAATATAGTATCTGTTTTTGTAGGCATTTTCTTTGTATCATGAAAACGTGAGTAATAAAGCGTATATCTTTATATGAAAGTATCGGAATTCACCAGCTGTCAGCTTTTAAATAACGAACATGACTCATTAAAATTTAATTAACCTTTAACAAGAAACAATATTAAAGTAAGCCGCTTATGTTCCAATACTTACATGAAATAAAAAAAAACCCGGCCAAGTGCGTGTCGTGCCACGCGCAGTGTAGGGTTCCGTAGTTGTATGTAGTTACCACAATATATTTATTTTTTTATATACACAATATATTTATGAGGAATCTTATTTTCTACATCGGAAATAAGAAAAACCAATTATTATCAATCTATGCATCTCAACTAAAATACCTAAATTAAAGTCAAACTGTGTCTCAAACCAAAAATAAATTCGACATATTTTTTTTAAATACGGATGATAACCGCCGATTTTTTTAATGTCAAATCCTCATGGATATCCTACAGCCGGTTTTAGAGGGGGGGGGGGGGGGGGGGACGCCCGACTCGAACAAAAATAACAAAAATTTAAAAATAGTATTAGTAACCCCTAAGTATTTCTAGCTGATAAAAAAACATCCCAGGTTACATTTAAAGAAGCTACCCTAAAAAAAATATTTATCATAATTTTATTCTACCATTTTGTCGATATGATCGATATATATATATCTTCACAAAATTATAGCTCTCTAGTGCTAATAGTCTTCAAGCAAAACCAGGGACGGGCATGACGAAACTATAAGGGTTCCTTATGAGGACTCCGGAACCCTAAAAAAGCTGTCGAGCAATTAATTTCATATTGATAAATGCCATTCCCATACAATTCACGCCGATATCAATAATTCAGCAATAAGCATTATGTCCGGTCCCCTCGTTCGGCTGTACAATCGATGATAATAACATCGTCAATATACACGACAGATGGTCTTTTATATTCCATCCAACGATTAAAATAGTAACGATTAAATTAATCGAGCAACGTTGAAACGAATGAGTCGATTCGCGCCGACGACGACGTACGATTATAAATTAGAATTTATTTCCGTGCGATGGCAGACGAAAGAGAATTGAGAAGTTATGTGGCAGAAAACTGTTATTGAAATTAATGTGTTACCCTTCTTTATGGGGGATAATCTTAAGCGGGGAGTTTCTCATGGTCATTTGAGTACTTTGCTCCTCCTCGATTAATAGATATAATAGTACAAATCTTGTTTTTAAGCACCACAACACCGTTCATAGTAATATAATATTATCTTTTGTGAATATAAATATTATAACTGCATAGCCTTTTTAAAGCATATTATGTGATTTGTTTACGACTTTACGTAGCAATCTGAAGGAGTTTCAATGGTTATCTGGCTCATCATCATCAGCCTATTAATGTCCCCACTTCTAGGGCACAGGCCTTTCCTATGGATGGAATAGGGAGATTGGGCCATGACCCACCACGCGGGCCCAGTGCGGATTGGTGGGTGCTAACGACTGCTGATGCAGCCGGGACCAACGGCTTAACGTGCCTTCCGAAACACGGAGGAGCTCGAGATAGTAATTTTTGGTCACCCATCCAATGACCGACCTGCTTAAGATGGAGCTGCTTATCTGGCTCAAAGGAACAAATTAGAGAGATACTAGCAAACCATTGAACCAAATGTTCACCAAAAACAAAAAAAAATGTATTTAATTAATTGAGAACTTCGGAGATTTTGTGTGGTTTCGTTTTAAATTCGTGATTTCTCGAAAACCGGAAGTGCTACGTTACTAAAACCGGTTTGTAGTCTTATCAGACTATTCTTAACTTATAACTTAAACATTCTCTTTATCTATCTCTTACGGTTTGGCCGCTGAAACAGCACCACAGACAGACGGACGGACGGACGGACGGACGGACTTGTCTAATAGATAAGAGATTATGTTCCGCTCAATATGTTTGACAACAATCAGACCAAAGTAGTCTTGTTTTCGAATTTTGTCACTGTCACAATAAAATTTAGTATGACAGCTATCTTCGTAAGGAATTAATGAATAGAAATGAATAGCGAAATTGGATCAAATCGAAATAGGTATCGAGTTATACAATAGGCCCCTGAATAAGGCTTTGCATCTCGATCCTACCGTCGCCATCGGACTGACCAATAAACCCATTAATCAAACACACTCAACACTCAACCCACTCGACACGAAATCTGTCATATAACCAAACAATGCGATCGCCATTTGTTAAAGTCGCATGACTGTGCTGTTTTAATAAGCGAACGGGTCCAACTAAATTATAAATAACCACTTGTCGTTATTCATTAACAATATACTTTATTAATATATCTCTCGATTGGACAGATAAAATCGATTTAGTTTGCATCAAGATATTTATAACAAAAATATAAACTTATTATGTTATGTTTATTTAGTA